ACGCAGGGTCGGGGCGCCCCCGGCAGCAGCAGCTAAAGATCATGGACTATAATGAAACACATCACGAGCACAGTTAGAGACACAGAACTGAGCCGGGACGCAGGGCGGAGGTGGAGGGACTGAAGTTTAACGATGAAGAAGAGCTACAAATCAGTGAAAGAGTAAACATGTCAGCAACTCTTTGGAATTCAGTGTTATTTGTTCCATTCCTCTGAGTGGACAACAGGATTTCAGCCCAGTGTTTTTCTACTTTGTTTTCTCTCTTTTTTTTTTATACTGATTCATTCCCTTGAAGAATTTTGACAAGGTTACACGGACACAAAGTCCAATTTGTTGTTACCAGTGAAGATGCTAGACTTATGATTTTTGTTATGAATCCAAGATAAGCCGACAGAATATGAACAAAGTTATCCATAACTTGCATGTGAGTCGGTTAGTCTGACATTTCAAAGATCAGTCCACCTAAAATACATAAATGTAGCTTTTCCCACCTGGCTCCAGTTGTACCAGCCATACAGATAGCTTAAGCTGTAATTTAAGCCACATTTTGACATTTGTCTCTGAGATTCCTGCCTCCACAGACAACACAATGGAAGTGAATGGAATTCTGTTTGTGATGCTCTCCGCACTGAAAGAGTACTCTTCGTCACAGTAACTTTGGATAATCCACAGACCTTTCTGACACTTTTCATTGCAACTACAATCTACTGAAGATGTGAAAAAAGTTCACAGCGAGGTCTATGGATTTTTCAGAGTAATGTTGACACCGTTTCTGGAGAGACAGGTTGCTGTTAAAATGTCTAGATATCATGTTTAAATGCTGTGAGGACCACAAATACAGTTCCTTTCACCTCTATTGTGTTGGCTGTGGACACAGGAATCTCAGAGACGGATATCTCAAACTAAAATCTGCCCTAGTTGATAACACTAAAGCTAAGTGAGAAAAAGAAAGTCATTTTTGTGTACTGATCCTTTTAACATTCAAACATTTCCACTTCCAATCAAATCAGATATTTAAAAAAAAAAAAAAACACTAGAGGAGCAGGAGATGTTACATTTGTCACTATTCTGTTAGGCGTTTGATATCTGAGTGCATGTTGCGTGAGTGTTGCATCAGAGTGGTGGAGGTGATCAGCACGTAGAGATGTTTGTTCTGAGGAAACCTTGGGAGTGTGACTTTATTGCTGCTGGACTGAATTGGAAAACTAACCAATGAAGTCAGGAGGAGAATGTTTGGTTTGCGAATGTGCTAGTGTGTTGGTGGTGCAGTCAGTTCGGTTCTCGTGCTTCGGCAAAGATGCAACGAGGAAAGTGTATGAAATCTAGAAAATTGATGAAATTGTATGCATTTTTATAAATCCCACATTTCGTCGCACCTTTTCTTATTTTATTTATTCAGCCATGAAGGGTGCTCGCAAGTACATATCCTAAATTAGAATCAGACCTTGCAGTGACAAGTTATAAAAATCATCTTTTTCTGTTCGAGACGACCAGCTGATCATAATGAAGTGCCATGCAAACAGAAGTGTTGTTTCTCAAACAAAATGAAACCAAAAACATCTTGTCCAATCAGGTTCCCTTCTGCAGGTCTGATAAACACGGAGTTACCTCGTTTCTTCTAAGTATTAGAAGTAAACTCCAGTTTTGAAAGTTGACTAAATCCTGTTGTCCACTGGGAACTCCTGCTGTCACTTCCTTTTGCCTCGCTATCTAAAGCATGTTCAACAATCCACTTTAAATGCCAACCGTAGTAACTACAGCAAACCAAGACAGAAGGTACAATCAGCACAAACTGAAGAAACCAGGACTCTGACCAGAGCTGGAGAATCTGGGACAAAATGGCAAAAAAGGAAGTTCTTAAAGCAGTGGCTTGTGTTTAACTGTGAACAATAAAGATCGTCTTCAATGTTTTGCACTACAGTTCTGAGTTTTGCTCTTTTTTTTGGCTGCTGAATGTAAGCCCCTCCACTTGGTTTGTACCTCCGTAGAGAATGAGGTGTTTTGTCAGTCAAGGTTGAGTTTATTTTTGGGACTGGAACCTTTCAGATGTTTGCAGATTGAAAAGAGCTGCTAAACTGTGGTTGGTTTACAGTTTGATAGAAAACAGATGAACAGAGAGTCAGTGATTTACTTTAGTGGTTAGTGCTGTGATATAAGGCCCACCTGGGCATGAAAGTACAGGTATGAGCCCTAGAGCCAAATTATAAATCAATTAATTCATTGACAGAAAATGATTCTAATAACTGATTGAACGTTGCATCTTCTTAAAAGTCTATCATAGTAAACTGAATATCTTTGATTTTGGACTGTCGATCAGATAAAACAGTTAAATGAATATGTCACTATTGGCTCTGGGAAATTGTAATGGCCATTTTATTTTATTTTATTTTTTACAATTCTCTGACATTTTATAGACAAAATAATTAGTTGAGAAAATAGTAAAGCAGATAAATAGATGCCGATAATACGATTTAGTTTCAAGTTAACTTTTTTCTGTGTCCATTAACATTGTTAAAATTCTGTGATCAGATGTTTACTAACCTGTATCCATAAACCATAATAATATCCATAACCATAAATATCCAACTTTTATTCAGGAAGAGGAAAAAGAAGCATTTTACACTGGAGACCGTCTGCATGGGAGGGGATACATCAAGCAGTTTTGTTTCATGAAAAAAAGGTTTTCCCAAACTAAGGTGCCTAATAAGTACTAGTTTAGTGTTGATATCTGTCCTGTGTCACAAGAAGCTGAGATCTCCGATGGTATCGCGAGACTTACTGTACTGAGACTTACTGTGCTGAAACTTAGACAGGCAAAGATAATATTTTTAAAGGATACCAATGTAGTCAAATTTATAAACACAGACTAATTACAGAATAATTACAGAACATGACTCAAGTACATATAGACCAACATAGTAACTTAAATTGCAGCTGGTTTATTAAGTATTGTAGAAATAATGTCAGCTACTTGCTTTGTTGGAAACAGCTAGCTCATTAACCCCTTACAGTGTGTTTGTTTATCTGAGCTAAGTTGAGCTAAAATGAGCAACGGTCTCCGTGGCTCATAGCTTCATATTCAATAAACAGATATGGGATATTAGTCTTCTTAACTAGCTAATTAACGTATTTACCAAAAGGTCGAACTACTTCCTTCAATAAACAACACAGGTGAGTCTGACTTACCAATGTTCTCAAATCTCACTTTTATATTCAATTAGCTAAACAAAAAGATAGCAATGCTAGTTCCTACAGTCCAGGAACACTTCCAGACTGAAAATATAAGATAAAAACCTGTAAACTCAATTTCATTTACCTGCATGACTACTGTATTTTATACTGGTTTTATTAGCATGAAGGACTGAATGTTCGCTAATCTCAGTGTGAGTGCAGGGTGTGAATATACTGTCAGTGTGTCTGCATAGGCCTGATAGTGGTTGTCACTTAAGAAGTAAACTACTGCATTACTGGCTTGATTAGTTACTTTTATGGCCATTTTTTTCATGTCAGAGCCGCTTGTATGGCGATGTAATTTATACCAAAGACAATGTTCTCTTTACATAAAGTTTATTGTTATATATTTCAACAATATACAATTTGTTCTGCCGACTTTTCAAAAAGAAAGAAGTTACACTTCTGTGATGATTTCACAGATACTGTAGGTGTCCCTGTTTCCATGTTGTTTGTATTTACTTTTATTCTTCTGTTTGTTGTCCTGTTTCCACCAGAGGACACTGTTGCTCCAAAAACTAACAGCGGACTCTGCAGCCATGTTGGGATCAACAGGTAAGGCAGTGTGGTATATATGGTGTTACACAGTTGATGATTGAAGATGATTCAGATCCTTAGGCTGTTAATGGTGCTGCTAAGGTCAATATATGACTCAATGATATTGACGAGAAGTCTTGTAATGTGTATTTTCTCTCAGTCCATTTTGTGTGTATTCCTGTACTATATCAGTTCACTTGAGATTACTTAATAAGGAAACAGCCGTATCGCGAACAAAACAGAAACACCTTCTCCAAATACAGCAGACAATAAACCAAAACCAGAAATATTACTGGTGCTCAAAAAAAAGCTCCTCCACGTTGATTTATACAATCAAATCTGTCTCATTAATTTCTGAATTTATTTGATTTTTTTAATACAAATAAGTACATAGTAGGAAAAAAGAAAAACATAACACTTACCACTGGCAGTATTCTGTCATTTTGTTTTTCTATTTTCCGTGTGTGTGCTTTGTGTATGTACATACGTGACTGTGTGTGTTTTATCAACTCCCAATTCCCTGGGCCTTGCTGTTAACTCTCATCCTGCTTCCAGGAGTGAATCATTTTTTGTGAGTATAACCGACCAAGTATGATTAGTTTATCAAACGTGTGCATATGTATTTCATGAGAGAGTCCAAAAAAAAAAAGAAGTGGTATGATTAATTTACCAGCATTCCGCAGGGTCAAGGAAATTGATGCAGGATAATTGGGCACATAGGGAATCCTTGGCAATTTGTGCTTTCAGACTCTACTTGAGAAATTAGATGTCAGTGCAAATGTGAAATTGCTCCTCAATGTTCTCAAAGATTCCATGAAAATTTAAACATAAATCTTAAGTATTTCCAGCAAAGGGATTCTTTCCTTTTTTTGTGCCAACTTGAAATGAAGCCCTGTGAAAATGATCTGAATGAAGTGAAAGTGTATGAGGGGGGAAAAAGACATCCGAGCTTGTGTAAAGTTGGGGCTGCACTCCGAGGAGGATGTCGGGGCTCTTGCTCTCGGTAAAGTCCTCATGCAAGAATTCATTAGATTCTTTTTGACAGGAAATAAAGTTTGAATTCATCTGAAGACGTGTTATTATAATATTCAAGATATGTACACCTACAATGCAAAATATAACTCAGACGGTGCAGTATAGCCTACTTTTATTTTTTTTCTCGGGTTGTCAGTGGAGAAGTTAGAAGGTACAACCATACGACACATGTGTTCATATGAATGAGAATGACTTACACAGGAGTGAATAATTGATATAAAGGAGCATATATTTGTCTAGTTCAGGAGGTCAGTGATTGATAAAGTTGCTATGT